GACCACTTGACAGTTTGCACTAATACCATCATTTGAAAGTTGTCATTATTAAAATCCTTTGACGATATTACTTGCATATCACATAGAATCACACACATCTCCAATAATAGCAACATTAGTGGTGTGGACATCTCCCAACAACACTTTCTTATCTTCATCACACATGTATGTTTTGAATATTGCACAATCATAACAGACATGACGAGAGGCACTAGTGTCTATCCATTAACCATTATATCAACCAACTATTTTGATTTCAATGATCATATCGATAAATTGTTCATTAGTATGGTTAGCTTGTGCATTAAGGGAAATAACAAGTTTAGGCATGTTCCAATATTTTTTAGCCATATAAACTAGATTTCAATAGTTGTAGCAAGTGAAAGCACAAGCGTAATTTCTTTGAGAGAGTGGTTGTTATCTAGAAATTGAGTCCATTAAAGGGTTCCCATTTTTGGTGTTTGAAATAACCAAGACTTCTTTCTTTTGATCTTCTCTCTGAAATTCTTCTTCAATTCGGGGGCAAATAGTCTAACTCTTAATTGAAAATTATTTTGTTTTACGGCAAAGTAAATTTTTGAAATCTTTACAATCAGGAGGCTGTTTGTTAATAATAACAACAAATTAACATTATTCATCTAATGAAAACACCTTCAATGATGATTTCGCGAGCAATCTTTTGAATTTCATGAGATTGAACCTCCACAAATATTTCATCAACTATCATATACTTCAGGTAGCGGCTAATAACATGATTTTCGCTCCGGATTCCTCAGTATCATACTTCTTTTTTAGAGTCTCCCAAACCTGTCTTTTAGTATCATATTTACTGTAATAACCATACAAATAATCTACGAGTCTATTTAGAATATGATTTTAACATAAATGATCATTATTTTTCTATAAGAGTAATTATTTCCTTAGTTATAAATCATTTTTTTTAACCTATGCAACTATTTTAGATGTATCAGACTCTATAGTTTTTTACATATGAATACACGTATTTCTTACTATTTTTTTGTTCATTTGATCCTTAAGAAGTAGGAAAAACAAGAGTTCCATCGTTCAAAACATTGGCAAACTTTTTATGGGTAAGAAAAATTGCATTTTCTGTTGGCAACATTTGAAATGACTTTTGTTCTGGTCTGGGCCCAACCTCGGTCCAGCCCAATACCATGCACGGCCCAATAAGTGAACTGGCCACGCCGGGGACGCGCGTCCCACAGGACGGGCAGGGCACGCCCCAGCCCCAGGCGACGCATTCGACGACATCTCGACGTCCCCTCTTATCGGCCGAGCAGGACACACCCCGGTGCGTCACCTTTGGTTCCTCCACCTCCTCGCTTTCCCCATCGCGGGGAGAACAACGCCCTCCGGGGAACCTCGCGAGCTCCCCTCCGCGGGGAGAACAACGTGTCCGGCGCACGTTCTCCACGTGCCCCCCTCCGCGGGAACACGTCATCAACCAACTGCCCACCTCCGAAAGAGCAGGTCAAACCCACTTTCCGGAGATCGAGGAGCAGTTGGACTAGGGCGAAGACCACGTCCTGGTCTTCACTACGCCACGTAAGCCCTAGCAGTCATTAGGGTTGGGCCTGGTCATCCAGCCCATATCAAATGACTGTTGGCCTAGCGCTGGGGTCCCTCTATAAATACCCTCTTCCTCAAGAGGGTCAGGTAACACATTCTCTTACCCCTCTTTCTGTACCTCGCCGTCGCTCTGTCCAACTTCTCACTTTGGCATCGGAGTGTTTTGCAGGTACACCCTCCTTTTTTCTTCCTCATCACCGGCGAGCAAGCAGCAGTCCAACAGAGTGTGGCCAGTCTGTGATCCCCTTCTGATCAGGTCAGATCAACTTTCCTTAAACTTAAAAGATTTATCAGAGAGCATAGACACCAATAATTTATTTGGTAGTCATGGCAGTTGAAAAAATCTTATAACTGTTAGTTTTCTATTTAAAAATTAGTTTTGAAAATATACCACTAAAAAAATTATCAACTCAAGTCGTGGAGTAGGCCTTTCTCTTTAAGACGTTTTGTGACACTGCCAAAATCATGCAAGACAGGCGATCAACCACAATGTCTCTAGGATAAAACAAATTATTTCAAATTGTTACGGTTACTACTGAACATTAGATAATCAATGTAGAATTACATCCACTATGATATGAAAATCTGTCGAATTTGGTATGAAAACCAATTTTATATGTCACACAACAGACACTAAAAAATGAAATGAAAAAGAAAATTATTTAGATGAAATCGAGTGGAGTGAGAAGGAGGAGATTTCAATTTTACATAAATCTAGGGTGAAAATAATAACGTGTGGGGACCTCTTATTATAGCTAAAGTCTGAAATCGAAAAGGAAGGAAAAGGGGGAGCGAATTTGATAAGTTCTTCCCACATTTAGATAAACCAATTCCAAAAATTGGAATTTGTGGAGGACATTGTGAAAGGCTTGGTCGAGCACATAAAAAATATGTGAAAATAATACAATAGATGAGAACAACACATTTAATAAAATTAATGTAAAATTAATTTTTTTTCAATTTCGAGTAGCAAAAAATTAATGTGTCACCCAAGCTCACGCTCAAGCCCGACCCCACTGAGTGGGTGGATGTGCGCGCACTATGGCACAAAAACCATTCGAATTTGATATGAAACCCAATCATATATGACACACAACGATCACTCAAAAAATAAAAAATAAAAAAATCATGTAGATGAAACCGAGCTACGAGAAAAAGGATAGATTTCAGTTTTACAAAAATCTATAGTGAAAATAATGAGGTGTGAAGACCTCTATTTATAGTTGAAGTATGAAACCGAGAAAGAGAGAAATTGGGGTGAATTTAATGAGTTCCTTTCCATGTTTAGATGAATCTGTCCCAAAAATTTTAATTCGTTGAGGTGAAGAGACCATTAAAGGTTTGGTCAGACACACATAAAATGTGTGAGAAATTAATGCAACAAATGAGACCAACACATCTAATAGAATTGCACCTTTTTACAAAATTTAATACATTAAGACTTTGTTTGGACTGATGGAATTAGATGGAGCGGAATAAATGTGATTCTATTGTTTGCATCATTTAAAATTGAATGGAGCGGAGCGGAATGAAGTGGTATGGACTTCATTTCATTCCATCACTTATCACCATATTTATTCTCCTCTGATTTTGGTGAAATGAACAACTTAATTTGTTCCGTCCTAAAAATTTCAAACAAGATATTGGTATCTTCGTTCTGCTCTTCTCCATTCTGCTCCGTTTATTTTATGATATCCAAATATAATCTAAAAAGCCACCTCCATTGTATGAGTGTGTTATTCTTCCAATGGAGAATTTGTTGAACTTTTTTTCAATTTCACACTTCACACTAATTCGTACTTGTGATTATTTTTTTTACCAAGTTTCAACAAACTCTCCATTCAATTTCCAACAATAATATATATCAAGTTTATTCCTAAAATAAAATCAAACTATCAAGAATTTAAGTTTAACTCATTTATTTTACAATTAATTTTGAACTTAAGTTCGACTTATTTGGTTTTTAAACCAAATTCAACAAGTTAATAACAAAATCAAATCTCAAATTAATTTTTTAAATTCTGAGTAATAAAAATCAATGTGTCACGCAAACTCGTTCTCAAGCTTGACCCCACTCAGCAGGCAGATGCCCGCGCTCTATGGTACGAAAATCATTCGAATTTGATATGAAACTCAATCATATATGACACACGGAGGCCACTCAAAAATAAAATGAAAACAAAAATTATGTAGATGAAACAGAGCTGAGAGAATAACAAGAGATTTCAGTTTTACAAAAATATAAAATGAAAATAATGAGGTGAGATGACCTCTATTTATAGTTGATGTCTTAAATTGAGAAGGAAGGGGGTTGAATTTTATGAGTTCTTTCCCATGTTTAGATGAATTAGTTTCAAAAAATTCAAACTCGTAGAGGTGTAGAGACCATTACATGTTTGGTCACACATAAAATGTATGTGAAATTAATGCAACAAATGAAACCAACACATTTATTAAAATTGCACCCTTTTACAAAATTGCATACTCTAAGATTTTGTTTGGATTGATAGAATCGAATGGAATGGAATAAAAGAGAATGATATTTCATTATTTAGATCATTTATAGTTGAATGGAGACATTGCAGAATAAAATAGTATGAATTCTATTATATTTCATCACTTGTCACCAAATGAACAAACTTATTTTTTTCCGTTCCATTTATTTTATGATATTCAAACATAACTTAAGGGGCCAACTTCAACTTCCACTATATAACACTTCACACTAATTCAAACTTGTGCTTAGGACTTGCTGAACTTTTTAAATTTCATACTTCACAATAATTCAAACATGTGCTTATTTCTTACCAAGTTCCACCAAACTCTCCATTCAAATTCCAACAATATATATCAAGTTCATTCATAAACTAAAATCAAACTATCAAAAATTCAAGCTCAACTCATTTATTTTACATTTAACTTTAAATTTAAGTCCAATTTACTTGGCTTGTAAACCAAATTCAACAAGTTAATAACAGAATCAAATCTCAATTTATTTTTGGAATTTCAAGGAATGTGATAGAGGTGTTGGAGAAAAAGAAATTCACTCACATTGGAAGGTAAACATTATACAACTAGTGAAACTAATAACTCTAAATTTTATTAAGTCATAAAGTAGAAGTAATCCAAACACACTACCTTAAATTAAACTACAAAACAAATCATGTGAATATGTGAATCACCTACAACAAACAACTACATAAAAAAATCAAGGGGGTAGGAGTCCTACACCATTTTTTTCAAAGGCAATAGGTGATGAGCACAACAAACAGCAAATGGAGTAATGTAACAAGTTTTTGCTGCTGGAAACAGTGCTTCCAATGTTACTACTGCCTTAACTAGTAAATTGCATCTGTGTCTTTTGAAGACTATACATACTTCTCAACATCATCTATCAACAAAATACTCTATCAATTCATCGAGGAACTTGTATCGCCGGTTTCGTCCTCGCTAAAGCTAGACGGCATCTCTGCGCCAGACCTGTAATCATCGTCGTGTATAATGTTGTCAGAAACAATAGCAACATCACCGCGTGAAGATATATTACAGAGGGATACGAATGCTTACCTCTGATTTTTCCTTGGTTCTATTTCAGCAGCAGGGAACTGGTTTGCGCTGTATGGTAGAAACGTATTCGGTTTAAGTCGTTTTGCAACCTATACACATAGCAGAGTGAAAGTGAAACATCATGTGCACATTCATGGAAGAAGGGAAGTAGGTAAGTGCGCATATAAAAAACTTACCATAGTTTCATTTGAAATCATCGCTGCTACCCCCGTATCGCGAAACTGCTTTTTTGCCTTCCTTTCCGCCTTGAACATCTCTTCCTGTCATTATGAAACAAAAACATTATCATATTTGAAACCATTTGTAAGCAGAATAAATTGATTATTACAAATAGAGCACACGGTGATACTGAAGATATATTAACGAACCTTAGTCATCCTAATAGATAGCTCTCTTTCTTCGGTATCTGCAGATCCACGAGAATTACGGATTGAGTTTGAAGGCTTTGTTTTTACGTGTTCACTCCTTTGCATGTTCTTTGGGTTGACGTTATCATAGTCATACGGCAAAAACTCTGCGTGAACACTCCTTTGCACATTCTTCGGATTGGTGTTTTCATAGTCGTATGGCAGAAAGTCTGCGTGTTTAACTGGAATGTTTTCTTCATAGTGATCGCTATGGTTAGAAGCAGAATCAGATCTCATCCCCTCAACACCGCGCTTGGTGTCTTTCCTATGATTCTTAGTGATATTATTATATGCAGCTTCCCCGGTAGAGTCTTCATACAAATCCAAGGGAGAGTTCCTAGCAGGAACACGAGTGGCGTTACTCTGAAAAGCTTGTCGGTGTTTTGTACCATGGAAAGCCTCCTTATCTTGTTTATCATGAACATCAGAATCACGCAAGGAACCAAACTCATCATCTCCTTCCATATGAGTATCTTGGGAACTATGTTTTGAATAATATGAATCGTATCTCTGCATATATATACAAGTAAAGGAGTGTGAGAAAGCATGTTCAATTACTAGGCTTATCAAAATACAAGAATGCATGTGAAAGGTTTACTTACGGAGCTAAGACCAGGTCGCCTTTTTGCTGTGGAGATTTCGGGAGATTTGAGAAGAGCCGGATCAGCAAAACGGTATGGTTCTGGGATACGATTCATAAGATTACAAAGGTGAGAATGTCAAATTTAAAATAAACTGAATACAGATGAAAATGAGATATTGAAAGCGAAAATAAAACGGAGTCTTTACACCTAAGCTAATGCTAAGTAAGATAAAATATTCCTTTTCCTAAAAAGTCCGCTATATAGTTAAAAGTTTCAACCCAAACAACACTGTAGTTTCACATAACTAATAGAATGAGACTTGGAAAAAAGAAGGGAAAATAGAGTGCATAACAACAGCGTACCGTGAACGGGATCTTGGGTTTGGCACTCAAAGGCCCCGGGTGGAAGTGGATCAAATTCAATGCCAAGTAATGGACCGTCTTCCAGATAATTCCTTCCTAATTGCTTTTTAACAGCAGTTATAGCAGCATGCTCTATCTCACCCTTCACTTTCAAATACCCCGATGGTTTATATCCCATGTTCATAGCACCCTTCGGTTTTAAGGGTGGAAGTGATTTACCAGATGCTAGATATCTAGAAGGCTCCGACTCATAGGGACCCTGGCCTTGAGGATACAACCGTTCTTGCAAATAAGAGCTGCTCTCAGACGAAGTATCGTCCATTCCACTAACATTTTCGGAAAAATGATTCCTACGTCCATAGGTCATATCAGCAACTGACAAATCACGATTGTAGAGACCATGACTCTCGACTTCTTTAGGATCCAGATACCTGTAATCACCATGTTTACTGCTCCCACACGAATCTTGCCCTTGCCCAAGTCCACTGCCACGATCCTGGATGACACCGCTTGAACGATCTTGTCGTCCATTAGCAGCTCCGTCATCTTTCGACAATCTCTTATCTTTTAACCTTCGATGGCAAAACCATCCAGATACTTGCTTTTCCGTCAACCCTAACTCCTCAGCAATTACTAATTTCAACTCCTCCGTCGGATATTTGTGCTCTGAAAACAAAATGAAAATAATATAATTCCACAAAATTCAACACATTCGATAATATATACTAACACCAATACAACAAAAACGTATCCCTAGTCCCTACCAGTATAAAAATTCTCCAGACCCTTAAGCTGCGCAGGCGTTTTGAGCTTTCTTTTCGTACTTTTCTCCATCGAGACTTTATTTTCTTCAGGTTGCAACTCACTCGACTCTAAACAACAACCGAGAAACACGAAGTTCAGTTCATGCATCAGAATGAAAAAAAAAAATACAATTACACCATACAATAACATACACCACAATCAGCAAAATTCTACTCCTGCATCAACAACTCAAATCGATCCAATACGAAAATCTCATACATGACTATTTGCTGAGAAATTTTCGATCGAATCAGAAAAAAAGTTTTGACCAAATAATCATAAAACACCAATTTCCCAACATAGATCCCTCAGAGCTAGCCCTTATCCCACACAGAAAGTAGATCCAATCCAAGTGACTTAACTTCAGTAACAGCCAAGAAACAAAAAGGATCCAAATTAGGTTTTCATAACAAAAATGCATTCAGAAAAATGAAAAACTATTTTCAATTATGATCAAAATTAACCAAACCCTATTTACATAAACAACCCAAAGATCCCAAATTTAAGTCCTTTCTGTCATACCCACCACTGCAAAACCTACCCAGAAATGTAAAAATCCCAATTACGGGTTGCATTGATTCAATTTCAATGTACACAAAAAATTGACAAAAATTGACAAAAATCAACAAATACCCAAATCGATTATTCAAAAAAAAAATGAAGACTCGAAAACAATACCTTCCATTTGCGTGAAGAATTCCGATCCTGTGACAAGGTTTTGAGGTAAAAACAAAAATAAAAAAAGGTGAAATTTTTTTCAGTGACTTATGAGAAAAGCGAGAAGCGTTTTACGCGAAAAGGAAAAGAGAATGTAACGTAAAAGAGAGAGGAAAATTGGGTTAGGAAGAGAGAAAAGAGCTTGTGATGAAGGTGGAAAGACAGAATGGAGAAGAAAGATAGGAACAAAACATTTAAGAATTCGTCGGGTGTTTTTGTTTTGCTTGTTTCTTTCAATCAAGCTTTGTTTGTTCACAATCGTCAGAAAAATAAAATATAATTTATTTATTAAAGATGATGATGATGATGATAAAATGAAAAAAAATATGAAAAATATATTTTTTTTCTTTGATTATACGTCATATTTTCAGTTTTTTTTAACTGAAATGAATTATTTATGATTTGGAGTTGTTAGATTAAAATGTTTAATGAATTTATTGATAAATAAAAAAAAGTGTTTTTTATGAGCATTTATGACATGAGTAATAATAGTTATGATAAAAGTCAAATTGTGATTGACTCATGATATAAATAAATTTTTTATTATTCATAAATTTTGGTTGGATAATCGTATTGATATTCAATTAAATTTAAGAGTGTCGAAGTTTTCATGAAGAAATGGAAAGGAATGAAGTTTTATCAAAAGAGTGAGAAGAGAAGAGGAGATGGAGGATTTTAGTTGTAAACATGTTTGATTTAATATTGATCTTACCAAACTATCAGAATCTGAGATGGGCCGAAGACGGACGTCTGTGATGCTGGGTATGAAAGAGGAAGATGAGGTGTGTCTGCAATGCACTCTGATGCTAAAGTAAGAAAACGAGCAAGAGAGCGAGCAAGTATAGAATATGTGTGTTTCAAGATGAGAAATTGGATACTTGACCCTCTCAAGTGAGAGGGTTTTTTATAATGCCCCCAGCGCTTGGCCATTGGTCCCTATTTTCGGGACGAGATAACTGTTTTCCGAATAATAGGTAACTGACATAAATAGTCGTTGGTACGGGCAGACGTGCCTATAACTAGCCGTTGTGACGGGCAGGGATACAGTTACGGGCACAAGCGTCTTGTCTGTTTCTGGATGGTGGAACCATGCGTGACGGATAGAGACTGATGGGGAGGAGTGTTGTGACCAAGGGTAAATTGGTCAGTCTCCCTTATATGAGGGGCAGAAAGGTAAACTCTCCACCAAAGAGGTTGGACAAAGACAATTGGATCGTTCTGGGAGCAAAAGTGGATTGGGTCATGCCTAGCCATCGGGTCAGTTCGGAACAGTAGCCCCCCAAGTTGTTGCTACCGAGCATGATAGTGATGACTTAAGGGTGGCCTGCTTTCCGGGCAGAGTCGTCGTACGTTTCCTCGTGTTCGGGTGAACACTTGTCCGTGGCCGTTGGAGTCGGGGATCTTGAGATACAGGGAGCCCAACGGTTAGTGGGATCTGAAGAGTGGGGATGCCACGTGTGGCTCGAGCCGTGTGTTGCATTAAATGCATGATGATGGCTAGGCTAGGGTCATGATGATGCCCTATGCGCGCGTGCTCGTGCACGTGTTTAGAACTTGCCTATAAATAGTGAGGGAGTCCGTTCATTCAGAACTTTTACTTCCCTCTCTTTTTGTGCTCGTCTCTGCAACCGTCGTCCGCTGTCGTCAATTCTGCTCCAACCACCGTACGACGCCCAACCAGAACCGCATTCTTTTCAGTTCCTCTTCCACTACCACGTAAGTGCACTAATCTTCTGCTTGTTCTTTATTTTTCCTTGTTTTGATGCTTTAGCTCACATGTGGTTAGGACTTAAGCAACTTAGTTAGGGTGTGTTTCGTGGTGGCTGTTGGTGGTAGACGGTGGAGCGACCATCTGTCTACCGCCGGTGGCGTAGCTGGTTCTTTTGGGGAAGGCAAGTTAACAACCTTTAGGTTCAGATGATTCGTGGTATGGGACATAGTTGCGTCGTTGTTAAGTTATCACGACTTCTGGTGGTTTCCCTGTGAGGCCACTGGGCTTTGTGGCTGGGGGGCTATCCTCGGATGCTTTAGCTTGAACTGGCGGGAACCTTCCATGTTTGTTTAGCTGCCCCATTTGAGTAGGGCCCTTTGTGTTCCCTTTCACTTGACTAGCAGTGGAAGGGTGAATTTGATTTTGCCATTGAATTCACTGTTTTCCTCTGCTTTTCAGGTAAAAGAGATGTCGTGCAAGGAAGAAGAAGAGCATCTCAGGGATTCATCCAAGGACAGCTCCTCGAAGAGTACGGATACAAATGATAGTTCCTCGTCTCTAGAGGGCGTGAGGACGTCTACTACGTTGTCGCTGGTGGACGAGTGGACCGTGGTCGAGCCCATGGAGCACGTGTCTATCTTCGCTTCTTATACCGGGGACACCTTCACCATGGTAGGACCGGAGGGAGAATCGAAGGTGCACTTTCCTTTTGGAGGAGACCGCATTTGCTCGGCATACGGGGAGCACTTCCCTATGCATGAGTATGTTTTTAAAGAGATATGACTGAGGTTGCCCTTTACTGATTTTCAGCGTGTCGTCTTCGTCCATCTTGATTTGGCGCCTTCTCAACTGCACCCTAACTTTCTCGCCTTCATGCAGACATTCAAGCTGGTATGCGAGCATCTGCAGATTAGGGCCACCCTTGCCCTTTTCTTCACCATTTCCCACTTTCAACGACAGGTGTCGGGGAAGAGGTTTGGCTGGGTTTCCTTGAAACAAGGGAGGAAGTTGTTCAAACCTTTCTCCGAATCCATCCAGACGTTCAAGGAGAGGTTCTATGTGATCGAACCGGTGTCGGAGGTGGCCACTGATTCAACTTTCGTATAGGAGGTATCCACGGATGAGAACGGGGAGGACTTGATAAATGAGGAGGGCAAGATAGTCACCCGGAGGCTTTTTACCTTTCCTTTTTGTTGGAGTGAGGCTCACTTTACCCGCTCAACCGACGAGTACATAGTTGCCCCTCACCAACTGGTGGAGGATGATAAAGCCAGCTATGTCAAGTCGGTGGCTTACATGGATAACTTCCTTCCTGCCCAGTGAGTGACTCGCGCCGGACAACTTTTGTACGAGGAAGATAGTGGCTTGTAGGTGGAAGCCTGATATATCAACACAAAGGAGCTCCTCGAGTGCCGTACTCGCGAGGAGACTCTTGAACTCCCGGGTAGTTGCCACTTCTTCCTTATTCTATTCGAAATCTTTCTTTCTCCGTGCTTATGTGTCTATTATTTTTGCAGGTAAAACGCCTTCAGTGCAAGAGCGGATGATGAAGCATGCTCAGGGGAAGATAATGAGTGGTGCTGCCCTGGGTAAGAGTCGTCTCGGTCAGCGGACAGTTCCCCCTGCATCTGGTTCGGGGACGTCATCTTCCACTCCTTCGCCCACCTAGACACCTCCCTTGCCCGTGAGCTCGAGGGCCAAGCGTCCTCGGGAAAACAAGGTGGTGGACCTCAGCCGGGAGTCCGCTAAGAGCAAATATGAGTTTGCCCCCTGCTTTCTCGACAGGAAGTTCTTCGAGGGGGGCCTCTAGTCCGTTCCTCGGGGGGGGGGGGGGGGGGGAGTCTCTGAGGCTCGAGGAAATAGATCATCCTGCTAAGCGGGCTAGTCTTGCCCAGGATACCTCTGCCTTAATGAGGGTCCTCGAGATGGTTGTGGTCTATACCCAGGAAAGCTCTCCGCTGGAGTTGGAGCTGAAGAAATCTCAGGCCGCGGTGACGGCTCTGGAAGAAAAAGTCAAACAACTCCAGGAGGAGAGAGAGAAGGAGCTTGACGGTGCCCGTAAAAGCCGCGAGGAGGTGGCTCAGGAGAGGGATGACGTGGCCGCCAAGTTGAAAGCTTCTGAGGACCTGATGCAGAAATTACAGACTACGACTGCTCTTGTCGACGATGAGCCGGAAGAGACGAGGTTGCTGGTGACTCGCTCAGAGTTAGTTGCCCGGTTCGTCCAGGCTGCTGACGACCTGATGGCTATCGGCGAAGAAGCCTTCCAAAATGCGGTGGACCAGATAAAGGTGGTGAACTCGGGGGTCAAGTTGAAAACTGAGGGAATAGGGTTCCTTTACATGGTTAAGGACGGCCAGATAGTCGTCCCAGAGTTCCTTCGATTCAACGCTGGTGAGGGTGAGCAGGGGCAGGAGCCGCACGAGGATATCCAGCAAGAGGAGTAGTCGTACTTGTTGGCCTGTATGTCATTCATGTAATTTTGTTGTAATCTTATTTTGTGGGGCATGGTCCCCTTTTAATTGTATTATGCACAATCGCGGTCCTTTGTGGTCGTTTTAAATTACATGTACGTAACTATGTAGTATACCCGTGTGTTTGTATATTTACGTTTTGCTGAATATTTTCTGTGTTATGTGTTGCGGTTAGAATATGATATCAAATTATTAATTAATTTGAATCACATCTTTAGTTCACAACCGCTCTTTGATTTATCCAAAGGAAAAGGTCAAAAGAGGAAAACCTAATTTTGCATCGTAAAGACAATGCGGGGAGAGATCTAGGTAAGGGGTTGGTTAAGCTCAGGGAAGGTACTAGCACCCTAAACTTTTGTAGTACTCTACAGGAACCTTTTGTTTATTGTATGCTTTTTTTTTAAAATTTATTATCTGCTTTAATATATATTGAGCTAAGGGATAGAGTGACCTAAAGACCTAAGGGTTAGTCCTAAGTTTACTCGGCAAGACGTCGCATCTTGTGCCTACATATCCTGACGGGAGTGGAATCAGAGTAATTGTAGTTCCCCTCGAAAGGGAGGTTAGAAACGTCTTGACTATGGTCAAGGTTTCAATGGGGAATAGTAAGGACACGCTTACGTGGAGTCTTTGAAACTCCTATTTCTATGTTGAATTTGTTAATTGAAAATTTGGGGTTGAAATTAGGGATTCCACGGCGGGAAAACCCTAAACAGAGTACGGCGACTCTTTGACCTAATGCTAGGGTAAAGGGCATTTTCGTCCACGGCGGGACACCTAGGC